AGGAATAAAGCCAGGCAGAGAAGGTAGAAACCGAGTAGTAGTAAAAACACTTTCTTCCTGGATTTCCAACTATATGTCTTTAAATTTTTGATCAGTGAGTCACATCTACAGACCCGGCTTAGAGCAGACGTTTTAAAAACATTAAACATTAATGCTCATTTACACAGGTGCTGTGTACATTGATAAGGTTTAATGGCACTAGCTTGTGCTACACCGCAATGCCTTCTGTAGACATGCGAATGTGATACATATTTGAACATGTTGCTGCTACATATGACTGGTGGGTATTTTCGAAGGTTTTCTATTTTATGCAGCATGGAAATTGACATTTTTACAAACAGATGTTGTTTTTCATATTGAACACTTTCCACAAGTGTTTTATCTTTCATTTAATAAACCATGGCCGTAAATGGCACCTTCATTATGCACTCTAGAAAAAACGCCCGGCCCAATTCACATGACCTTAATAATCTTCTGCAAAGTTTGGTTTTTATTTCATTTTTTATTTATTTATCTATTTTCCCCTCTTTTTCGTCTTCTTGTTTCTTCTCCACAGACCCTTGAAAAATTAATCCCAGCTTGATGTAGCCCTCCCAATATGTGTTGATGTAAACTGTTAATAGCATATTGTCACTAAACTCTAACCTGTGGTGTATTACTTTGCAGTCAAATTCTCATTAAGTGTCTGTTGTTACCTTGTTGTTTAATGGCTGTTTGTTGCTGCAGTGACTTTATTTATTATCTAAATTGTCAGTGAAAGCCATAATAGTTTCAGCATTAATATGTGACCCTTACCAGTGTGCATTTGGCTGAAAAGTGCTGTGAGGTAACTTCTGCAGAACGGCAGGCCAAATCCCTGCTGGAGATCTCAGTGAGTCACCCTCCAAGCCTACTGTGTGTGTTTGCTGCATTTCTCCCCGGGAATAGCCCAACAGTGGCGTGAGGCTCAGCATGCTGTCACACACACACACACACACACACACACACAACGACAACATGCACACAGACACACACATGCAGGCCTGTCTGCCTGCCTGCCTGCCTGCCTGCCTGCAGGGATTTATGTGGATGGGGGAGATTTATTTCTTTCTGTGTGTCTCAGTTTTTCGTCCTCAACAGCTAAGATCACCCTGACAAACACCCTCATGTGTAACATGGCTTTCAGAGAACGGTTACAAACACATGTGTGCTGTCGCTAAAGCTTTTATCTAGAGTGGGGTATGCATAAGGTTAAAAAAACATGGAAAATGGGGCAGACTGCCACAAGCTTCATGTGTGCCACACAGGGCATAACAACAAGTAGAGCATGAGAGAATAAGACCACAAAGTATTTTTTATCACATGTCTTTGACCAACAAATTTCTCAAGTGACCTATAAGGACTGTGGCTGTTATGTATGCAATTTCCTAGCATACCAAATCTATGAATCCATGTATGATGAATGTTTATGATACTTCATCAGAACTGGACAAGGCTGAGAGATTAGCTTGAAATATAGTGGTCGCAGGTATCGTATTCTTCACTGTTTTTTGTCAGAGATGTTAATACCAACAAGTCCTCCAACCCAGAAGTGTTACAAAATCACTTATTTCTCATAGAGGTCCCAGATTTCATTTCAAGCACTGGCCGATAAGAACATATACATACACATATTTGAGTCAAAATCATTTTAATATAGGTTAACATCTCTCTCAGCCTTCTCTCTGGAGCTCTGTTAACAACAGGTAGGTTAGTCAATCAGAAGAGAGGGAGTGCCAGTCCTTTCTCCTGATTGGTTTACTGTTTTCTCAGTGATTGCATAAAAATAGAGCATTCAACCTAGATGGTAGAAGCAGGTGTGCCATGATGGGTGTATGGCTAAGTTCAGTGACAGCATATTTATGACATCACAGAGTTACAGAAATCCTGACAGCTCATTTTAAACCTCCATTTCTGAAGACAAATTGCATGCACTTCTCTGTGGACTAAAGGTTTGATCCTTATTGACCTGCTGTATTACAAAGAAGACATGGGGATCTCAGAATCTCATCTCAATAAGTCACAATTCAAAACAGTCACATGCTGTACATGGTGTTGCATGAATTCTCCCTCTACAGCAATTTTGTCACATGTGGATGAAGTGGCAGCTGATACTGGGGACCAGAGCACACTTATCACCACAGTATACATGGTGATATATGCTCATTGCTTTAGTTTTATGGTGCCTCCAGTTCTGGTTCAGTCTGACTGCTGTCAAACTTAATAAATCATTTGCCAAAGTTTTACTTGTTGCCTCTTGTTGCAAGCAGCAGTGGGCAGATGTTTTAGCAAAAGTTAAATACACAAGCAGACTGGCAGATGTTAGTGTCTAGCAGTGAAGAAGAGCCAAAAGAATTTTAGTGTCTCAGTTGAGCAGATATATGACCAGAAACTATATCATCTGTATAGTTAAGGGCCTGTGGTGCTGACCTAGGTTAACACTGCTGTTATATCCTTCCTCTGCACTCCATGTACATCTAATGCATGTCTCCACCTGTTATTCACAATGTGTGTCCAGTCGCATTAAACAAATGAGAGTCCATTTAATGTGTGTGACTACAGTGACCTACAATACATGGCAGTAACTTAGGAGACTGAGGCTCAGCTTTACTTAAACCAAAAAATACACAGTTTAATAATTAGTTTTTTGAGAATCTGCATAATGTTGTTGTTTTTTGAGGCAACTTATTTAACATGTAAATTTATGTAAATTAGCTTGGAGCCAAATATCTGAGGGACACCACAGTTCACAGTGGATTTACCATCACTGGCACATACTGGCACAACATGCCAAAATTAACTAGAGAAAATTAATTTGGTCCTCTGGGCTGTTGCTGTAAATACAGACACATTTTTTTTCTGTCATATCCACACAGGAAAATCAGTGTTAAATAACAGTCTCATATAGTTTGCAGTATGCTGTATACCATTACTGTAACAATTCTCTTGCAGTACATTTTAGAGGGAATCTTAGGTGTAAAAATGATACCACCGTCACGGCTAAGTTTAAATACTCACTATTCAAATATGAGGAAATGGGTTCTGACATTTAGTTTAAACCATTTTTTTTCTCTTTTTACCTTTTTCTCCTCCCTGACTCCAAACCCTCTTTTCATGGTTGCAGTGTTGAAATCAATGCAGCTATCTGTCAAATTCACCTGCTCAGAAAAGCCTGGCAGCCCCAAAAATTCCATATATGTGACTAAAGTCCTGTCTAGACAGAATTAGTTGTAGTGAAATATTAAGCAATGTCATTTTAACTTGTATTGCTACATTATTTATGTCTTCTGCAAATGTAATTATGTCTGATTTTGAGAGTACAAAACATATTTCAGGAAAAATTATGCAAATTGCAGCTAATTCCTGGGTTCTCTCTGTTCAGTGTTGCCACTCGTGCCATCAATCAAGGCCATGATTGCAATCAATCACAACTAAGAGGTCACACATTAAAAATCTTCTGAGATGATGAATAATTCAGCACCAAAACGTTCATTTTATAACCATATAATCATCACTTGCAGAGCATTTCTGAAACTCAAATCTCAACAAGGATGGAGCCAGCTGCTCTTCAGTCTGCCCCACATCTCTGAGGTGTCAGTTACCGATGCAGTGTGTTTGCAGTTTCATGGTAGGAAGCAGCAGCATGAGTGGAGGTGCCTGCAGGCTCAGGAAAGTGGTAAAAAGGACTTGTTCAATCACAGGCTGAGGCTCTGCTCCCAACAGGCAGAGAGAGTGAAGGACAGGGTGAGACCAATTTCAGATCTGTCCTAAACCCTGTTCACATGGGACTGGTAATCTATGGGGAATTCATGTAGTGGATACATTTCTGGTCAACCTCTTTGTTTTACATAACACAAACAATAGATCAGACCCTCTTATATATTTCCTTACTTTCTCTGTTTTTGAATTCAGGAGAAAAAAATACACTCTTTGTTGTACCCAAATTTTCAATATCCTTGATGTTCAAATATTTGTGTAGGATCCAGCAAAGTCACAAAACTGGGTACATTAAAGTTAAACAAGAGCAGAGTGGTGCAGCGAAACCATCCTCTGCTAGTTCTAAGGAACTTTCCCTTACCCCTCTGTGACTTGTTACAGAAGCTTGAACTTTACTTGCATATTGTGACATGCTCCCAGATCTTCTCCCATTTGGACTCTCCCAGATCACCCACAAAACTGGTGTAACAGCCATTGCTTCTCTCAGTAGCTTTCCTTGCATATAGGGATGCATGCCTTTCACATTTGAACCGATACCAATACCATTCCTGGGAACCTGTACTGATATGCAAAGGTACCTGTTGTTTGGTACTTTTTTGTGTGTATGTGTGGTAATTAAAGTTAATGTGTTTATTAAAAAAAATGTTAAAACTTCAGAAATTAGAATTTTTATTGTTATGATTTGGTGTAAACAAGCTAAGCTAATAGCGGGATCTCTGTTTAAAACTTGAGAGTGTGCAGGGAGAGGAGGGGCTGTCCACAGACATTAGTTTTCAACAGGCCTGAAGATTAAAACCCTGACCCGTGGGTGTTGATGCCCAGACCCAACATGGTGCGACATGGTGCAATATTGGAAAATGCAAAACTATGACATCCACGATAAAACATCTGGCATCCTCATTGGGCAGAGTGGCACAGTTGAATTGTTTTGGGTCCATAACTTACACAGTTGCAAAACTTTAACATTTCATCTGGGTAAGAATGTACTGGTCTGGTACCAACAAGGGTAAATGAGAGCGGAGTGGCACAGTGGACGCTTGCTGGGCCTATAACCCAGAGGTCACTAGATCAAAACCGGAAGCTTAAACTTGACTCTCATATTGTCACACTTTCCTAACCTTGTCAGAACTAGGTTACTCTAAGTAGTTTCCTGACTCTTTAGGATAACCCCAAAAAACTGGCTGGAAAACTGGTCCAACAGCCATTACTTCTCTCAGTAGCCTTCTTTTCTTCTTAACTATTTTATCATATAGCATGCAGGATGGGGTAGTGTGGCCAAGTGGTCCAAAGCACTGGGTTAAGGCTCTAGTCTCTCAGGCAGCATGGGTTTAAATCCCACCACTGCCATTTGCTGCTGTTTGCCCATATGCAATAACTCAGGCAGTCTTCTGAAGACTGACATTATGCTGCACTGATTTTGGAAAGTGCCAAATGATCCATGTTTTAATTATGCTTTATGTTTTGACTTGTTCCCTGGTACATTTACTTAGCATATGCCTTACTGATCTTCAAGTGTTGAAAACTACACGTCTGCTAGTCCTGAGAACCTTCCCATGTGTCTCCATGATGTGCAGACTTGACTGGTCTGCCTCTGTCATGTGGTCCCTCTCTGTGTCTGTCCGACTCAGGTTGCTCATTCTCACTTGTTTTGGACCCTGTCAGAGCAGCCATGAAAACTGGATGGATGTTCTGGTGTTGCTGCCATTGTTTTTCTCAGTAGCTTCCTTTTGCATATAGCTCCAAACAAGTTTATCGCATTTCCTGCATCTTTTGTTGCATGCAGGACATGCTACATAGGCTTTACCTGGTAGTGTGGCCGAGCGGTCCAAGGCGCTGGATTAAGGCTCCAGTCTCTCAGGAGGCGTGGGTTCGAATCCCACCACTGCCAGTTGCTACTGTTTGCCCATAGGAGAGGTGCAAGTGCTCAGACAGTGTTCTGTTTGCATCCTGCTCTGATGTTGGAAAGTGCAAAACTATGAAATCCATCATCAACCTGTGCTTTCTGTTTTCTCTTGTTCTTTCGTACTTTTACTTGACGTATGCCTTACTGATCTTCAAGTGTTGAAAACTACAAGTCTGACATCCTCATTTGGCAGAATGGCAGAGATGAAGTGTTTTGGGTCCATAACCCACACAGTTGGACAACTTCAACATTTTCTTTTGGGTAAGAATGTACAGGTCAGGTGATGAGAAGTGTACGTGAGAGCAGAGTGGCGCAGCGGAAGCGTGCTGGGCCCATAACCCAGAGGTCGATGGATCGAAACCATCCTCTGCTAGTCTTGAGAACCTTCCCATGTGTCTCCATGATGTGCAGACTTGACTGGTCTGCCTCTGTCATGTAGTCATTGTCTGTGTCTGTCCGAATCAGGTTGCTCATTCTCACTTGTTTTGGACCCTGTCAGAGCAGCCCTAAAAACTGGATGGATGTTCTGGTGTTGCTGCCATTGTTTTTCTCAGTAGCTTCCTTTTGCATATAACTCCAAACAAGTTTATCGCATTTCCTGCATCTTTTGTTGCATGCAGGACATGCTACATAGGCTTTACCTGGTAGTGTGGCCGAGCGGTCCAAGGCGCTGGATTAAGGCTCCAGTCTCTCAGGAGGCGTGGGTTCGAATCCCACCGCTGCCAGTTGCACCCGTTTGCCCATAGGAGAGGTGCAAGTGTTCAGACAGTGTTCTGTTTGCATCCTGCTCTGATGTTGGAAAGTGCAAAACTATGAAATCCATCATCAACCTGTGCTTTCTGTTTTCTCTTGTTGTTTCGTACTTTTACTTGACGTATGCCTTACTGATCTTCAAGTGTTGAAAACTACAAGTCTGACATCCTCATTTGGCAGAATGGCAGAGATGAAGTGTTTTGGGTCCATAACCCACACAGTTGGACAACTTCAACATTTTCTTTTGGGTAAGAATGTACAAGTCAGGTGATGAGAAGTGTATGTGAGAGCAGAGTGGCGCAGCGGAAGCGTGCTGGGCCCATAACCCAGAGGTCGATGGATCGAAACCATCCTCTGCTAGTCTTGAGAACCTTCCCATGTGTCTCCATGATGTGCAGACTTGACTGGTCTGCCTCTGTCATGTAGTCATTCTCTGTGTCTGTCCGAATCAGGTTGCTCATTCTCACTTGTTTTGGACCCTGTCAGAGCAGCCCTAAAAACTGGATGGATGTTCTGGTGTTGCTGCCATTGTTTTTCTCAGTAGCTTTCTTTTGCATATAACTCCAAACAAGTTTATCGCATTTCCTGCATCTTTTGTTGCATGCAGGACATGCTACATAGGCTTTACCTGGTAGTGTGGCCGAGCGGTCCAAGGCGCTGGATTCAGGCTCTAGTCTCTCAGGAGGCGTGGGTTTGAATCCCACCACTGTCAGTTGTTACTGTTTGCCCATAGGAGAGGTGCAAGTGCTCAGACAGTGTTCTGTTTGCATCCTGCTCTGATGTTGGAAAGTGCAAAACTATGAAATCCATCATCAACCTGTGCTTTCTGTTTTCTCTTGTTCTTTCGTACTTTTACTTGACGTATGCCTTACTGATCTTCAAGTGCTGAAAACTACAAGTCTGACATCCTCATTTGGCAGAATGGCAGAGATGAAGTGTTTTGGGTCGTAACCCACACAGTTGGACAACTTCAACATTTTCTTTTGGGTAAGAATGTACAGGTCAGGTGATGAGAAGTGTATGTGAGAGCAGAGTGGCGCAGCGGAAGCGTGCTGGGCCCATAACCCAGAGGTCGATGGATCGAAACCATCCTCTGCTAGTCCTGAGAACCTTCCCATGTGTCTCCATGATGTGCAGACTTTACAGGTCTGCATCTGTCATGTAGGCAACTCTCCTTGTCTGTCAGGATCAGGTTGCTCATTCTCACTTGTTTTGGTCCCTGTCAGAGCAGCCATGAAATCTAGATGGATGTTCTGGTGTTGCTGCCATTGTTTTTCTCAGTAGCTTCCTTTTGCATATGACTTCAAACAAGTTTATCACATTTCCTGCATCTTTTGTTGCATGCAGAACATGCTACATAGGCTTTACCTGGTAGTGTGGCCGAGCGGTCCAAGGCGCTGGATTAAGGCTCCAGTCTCTCAGGAGGCGTGGGTTCGAATCCCACCACTGCCAGTTGCTACTGTTTGCCCATAGGAGAGGTGCAAGTGTTCAGACAGTGTTCTGTTTGCATCCTGCTCTGATGTTGGAAAGTGCAAAACTATGAAATCCACCATCAACCTGTGCTTTCTGTTTTCTCTTGTTCTTTTGTACTTTTTCTTGACGTATGCCTTACTGATCTTCAAGTGCTGAAAACTACAAGTCTGACATCCTCATTTGGCAGAATGACAGAGATGAAGAGATGACTGGTCTGCCTCTGTCATGTAGTCACTCTCCTTGTCTGTCAGAATCTGTTTGGTCATTCTCATTTGTTTTGGACCCTGTCAGAGCAGCCATGAAAACTGGATGGATGTTCTGGTGTTGCTGCCTTTGTTTTTCTCAGTAGCTTTCTTTTGCATATAACTTTTAGCCTTGGGTGGCCAAGGATGGGGCTAAGGATGGAGCTAAGGATGGAGCTGAGAAAGCAGCTACATGGTAGTGTGGCCGAGCGGTCCAAGGCGCTGGATTAAGGCTCCAGTCTCTCAGGAGGCGTGGGTTCGAATCCCACCACTGCCAGTTGCTACTGTTTGCCCATAGGAGAGGTGCAGAAGCTCTCACTGTGTTCTTCAAACTGAACATATGCTGCACTGATTTTGGAAAGTGCAAAACTTTTTACTTGGAGTATGGCTGGCTCCAGTCTCTAAGGAGGTGTGGGTTAGACTGTAAAGTCTAAAACCCCTCAGGTCAACACAGTCCTGCAGTGTTTTCTCTGTGTTTTCAGCAATAATCGTCAAGAAGCTATACAGAAAGTAGGCTATGCAGGTAAAATACATATTTTGACACATGCATTAACCCAAATGTGGACGTCAAGTGGCAGTGGTGGGAGCTGCGGCCTTGAGCTATATGACATGAGCATTCTTGCAGGTAGTGTGGCCAAGTGGTCTAAGGCACTTGATTTAGTCTCTAAGGAGTTGAGAGTTCAAATCCCAGCATCACGTTACCCAAATGGGTTTGTGTGGTTACATCAACATTGGATCACTGAACACTGTAATGGTTCTAGAGCATTTCAGCTCCTCTGTTGTGAGAGAGGTATCCCTTTGTCTCTGTTTTCCTCTCAATTTGATATTCTGAAAAGTAAGAATGAGTTGACTTTAGGTTCATGGCTCTGTATGTCCTTAATATGATTAATGGTTTGTGAATGATGCTGAGCCAACTATGTCCACTACAATATGTGTCAGACTCAGTTTTAGATTGCTGGGCCATGAAATGCCATCAATGATAGTAATTGTCCCAGACTACCATATTCTATTCCCTCAAATAAAGTAAACAGTTATTAATCTAAGTATGATGTGTGTGTGTGTGTGTTTGTGTGTGTGTGTGGAGGACATGGGCTTTGCCATTTTGTTTCTCTTGTTTTTAAGTAATGGTTAATTATTATTTAATTATTATTAATAATTAATTATTAATTAATTAATTAAATATTATTTCTCTGTTTTGTATTTTAATTACAAATGTTTGAAATTCCTTAACAGCTTGCTGTTGTTTGTTGTTTGTTTGTTCTAATCCCCCCACGCTCTCTGATGTTGCAATTACCCAGTTCCCCAAACAGGAGTCATTCCACTCTGATCTCACTGATCTTGCTCTCTTAACCCTGTTGTCTTTTTTCTCTATTCAGAGAAAATTGACCTTTACTCCTGTATCATTATCCTCACAATCCTCATACATACATACATATTATTGCCCCCTCATCAACACACTTAATTGAGATCCATGCGTCAACAGGTTCCTGTGAGCTGGTAAGGTAATGTAGCACACCATATAATGATCACATAGAAAACTGATGAGAATGGCTGGAAAATGTTTTATCAGAGTATGTGTTAGTGGTGTGTGTCTACAGACTTGAAGCTTGTGTGTTTCTTACTGCACTACTTTTTTTGTGATGAATAAATAAATGAGCGTCATATTGAAATAAGGTGTACTGCATTGTGGGTGTGTGCCTATTTGATTTTATTGCGCTCTTATCAGGCTAAAATTACATGTTTTTTGTCGCTTTTGTTGTTGACTGTGTTTTGACGATGGATGTTCTAGTTTCCACTGCTAAGGATGATTGGAAAATGAAAAAGGTCCGTAAATACTTCTTCTTATCTCCCCTCCTCTTTCACTCTAACCATCCTCACCCTCCCATGTCAGGCTCATCTCTGGAGTAAGCTATGTGGCAGCTATGTCATTTATGGCCTTAATAATATAGAGATCTATTTAACTCTTCTCCCTCCAC